TGAGCATTTATTAAATCCTATCATATGCTGCATCTTCTCATTTCATATACTTTTACCTCTGATCCCCTCCTCACCAATCCAATCAGCAATTCAGGAAGACATGTTTTAGAATGGGAAGAGGGCTAAACAAAGCATTGGGGTGATGAAAAAAAGACTCATAAATGATATTTCCTATCTCTTGTTGAATGCTGGCAACCTGTGTAACTTTCTGAGCTTCCTGGGCCCTCATTTGTGTGCATATAAAATGAAAAGGAATGAATAGCATCAGAAGTTGCAGACAGATGACCCTAGAGCTAAGTGTGGCCTGCAGACATGTTGGGCTGGATCCACAATTCGAATTAGGTTTCAATACTTAAAAGCAAGGACATTTTATATAAAGTTCCAGATTTCTGACTTCACTTGAAAAAAAAAATTGTAAAATCTGCCACTAGTGGGCTGGCATTTCCACATAGCATCAACCGGGTGCTGCTGAGTCGCAGTGGCCTCTTATGTAGATAGAGCAGGCAGTCTCCTCTTGAGGACAGGTCTTATAGAGGTAATTTAGGAAGCTGTTCTACCCTCAAATGACCATTGTCTTCTCTGAAATTTCTAAAACCACTTTTTAAATTTTGTTTTCAGAGTCATCTATTTCTGACTAATGTTGTGCTATATTTATAACAATACAGATAGAAGTTATTTATGTCTAATGAAAGGAATTCTAGAATAGTACCCCACTTCGTAGTTATGATACCGTTATTACCACTACTAGCAGGAATATTAGTAATAATAGCAAATATTTAATGATGACGAAGTTTGTGTCTGGCAAAACCCTGAGTGCTTCCACAGGGATTAACTGAAAAAATGCTTACAATAACCTGTTATAATGTAATCTTAGGACAGGACGTTACATTCTAAACCAGTGGTTCTCAAACCTGAGCATGCATCAGAGCCATCTGAGGGCTTGTTAAAACATAGGTTTCCAGGTGCCAATATAAGGTTCGAGAGAGGAAACTATGATAGAATCAGAAAAACAATCACAAAAATATATTAAAACTCTTCATTTACATTGCTTTGCATTTTTTAGATGATGTATTTAACATTTAAGCTTAAAGTTAAAAGAAACAGAGCTTGAAAGTCATACTTGATCCATCACGGATGTGATTTGTGCAAAGAAGAAAACAGAGCACCAACACTGAACCCATACACTAGAGGCTGGCAAACTATTGCTGAGGTCGGAAATGGCCATGGCCTGTATTTGCAAAGACCATGAACTAAGAATGATTTTTACATTTTAAAGGGCTATAAAAAGAAGGAGAAAAAGAAGCAGCAGAAGAGGGGGGAGGAGGACGAGGATGACGAGGAGAAAAAGCACAAGAAGGAAAAGGAAGAGGAGGAGGAAAAGAAGGAGAAAAAAGGAGAAGAAGGAAAAGAAGGAGGAGGAGGAAGAGGAGGGGGTGAGGGTAGTGGAGGAGGGGGAGCAGGAACCCCAGCAGCAGCAGTGACAGAGGACAAATGGGGCCCTCAGAACCAAAAGTATTTACTATCCTTTTACAGAACAAGTGTGAAGACCCACATTATGCAATAAAAAAGGATGTTGTCCCACTTGCACGGTTTGTCTCCAGAATGCACATTTATTTATGCTGTAAATTAAAATATTCTAGACTTGCATATGTCTTTCTTAAAAAAACTGAAAGACAGCTTTAATTTATTTATTTTTCTCTTACTTAAACTGTCTTGATACGTTGGAAAAAAAGTTTTCCACGTATAGAGGGTGCTCAAAAAAAGACTGGTCTCTGTTCATTTGCCTGATTGAACTCAGATCTGTTTACCTCCCTTTAGTGGCAGGATTCTTCCAAGGCTTTATTCCCGAAAGAGCAATCTTCATCATCGGTCTGTCTGAATCAAATCTGCTCCTGTGGGTTTGGATGTTCCTTACAAATAATCACAAATTCATACAGTTTTACCCTAACCACGTTTTTGAGTATATTCATTGACTTATCCATTATTAATCAGGTATCACCTTGGTGCCAGGCAATGTGCTGGTCATTGTTTCCTATGACCCTCCATCTCTCTTACCTCAGAGCCTCATTTTCATATCATGCTGAACTAAGGAAAAACCCCTGCATCTGCTTTCTCTCCTTCCTGCATTGGTCCTTTCCACAGCAAGTGACCCTGCATGCGTTGTTTGGAAGGAGAATTTAATTCACTTCTCAATTACTTTGCTTGATGTAAGTATGACTTCATTCATTAGAATCTTGGCTAGGTGAGGTAGTAGGAAAAGGTAAGCGTATAAAACCATAACCTTCATACATTAGCCAGTTTCCCCAAAATGTATAAAGGTACTGGTATTTTTTTGTGTAGCACAGAACAACCTTAGGAAATAGTATTTTTTAAAAAGGGCTTTTAATCTCCAAGGTAAAATAAAGGTGTACTATAAAGCCATATGGTAATACTTTACAACAGCTGGGCTGAGATAGTGTACTGCTAATTTGCACAGTTCTTTTATGTAAGTTAAATGTATTTCTTTTGCTTAATGCAGTTCTGAAGGCAAGGGTATTATTAATTGCTAATGCTGCCCCTGGTATTCCGATATTCACTGCTAATTATATAAACCAGCATACTTCAGTCTTAGTGAACCATTTTTCTTCTGCTCTGAGATATTTGATCAGAAGGAATTCCACCTCTGGAACAACTTGTATTAGGTTAGCCCTCTGGGAAAGTTCTAATTTACAAGATCCTTACTAAAAAAATCAAATCTGTTTCAAAGAGATTACATTATAAATGTAAACTTCCTAATGAGCTTGAGTGAAACGCTGTGGGCTACAACTGGTGAACTTTGAAAGTTTTTACCCTTTTCCTTTTCCTATATATATATTTTATGTAATCTGTATCCTAAGTCCTATAAAGAGACCAGCTGTTACTCCCAGTGAACTGATGCTTGTAGCCAAATCCTGCATTTTCCCTGATATAGATGATCCTTCCCTTTTTATTCTTTTCCTTAAAACAATGTTTACTACTAATAAAAACAGCTAATACTGTGCTGATTATACACCAGATGCCAGGCTCAGTAAGCACTTTTGCATAAACTACCTCATCTGGTATTCATAAGTTAAGTAACTTACCCAAGGTCTCTTAACTCTTAATTAAAGATTAAAAAAATGTGGTGCTTGAGCTTGCTAGAGATTGAGATAGTAAAGAACATATTAAAAGCATGAGGAAATCAGATATAGCAATTATTTTCTTTTTTAAAAAATGACAAATATTTCCATCATTTAAATGTCAGGATACTGACTTGTGTGATTTTGGTGTTCTTTCTTTTCTTCTCTTTGCATATATGAAACAGATCAAATTGAAAATATGTCAAAGTAACATGATTTATAGATTATTCTTATTATTTCAGTGTAAGTCTCAGGATAATTTTTTTGAATTTAATTTTATTATATTAGTTACCATACAATACAGCATTCATTTTTGATGTAGAGATCCATGATTCATTGTTTTCGTATAACACCCTTTGCTCCATGCAATACATGCCCTCTTTAATACCCATCACCAGGCTAACCCCTCTCCCCACCCCCCTCCCCTCTAAAACCCTCAGTTTGTTTCTCAGAGTCCATAGTCTCTCATGGTTCATCTCCCCCTCTGATTTCCCCCCCTTCATTTTCCCTTCCTTCTCCTAATGTCCTCCATGCTATTCCTTATGTTCCACAAATAAGTGAAACCGTATAATTGACTTTCTCTGCTTGACTTATTTCACTTAGCATAATCTCCTCCAGTCCCATCCATGTTGATGTAAAAGTTGGGTATTTCATCCTTTCTGATGGCTGAGTAATATTCCATTGTATATATGGACCACATCTTCTTTATCCATTCATCTGTTGAAGGGCATCTCGGCTCTTTCCACAGTTTGGCTATTGTGGACATTGCTGCTATGAACATTGGGTTGCATATGGCCCTTCTTTTCACTACATCTGTGTCTTTGGGGTAAATACCCAGGAGTGCAATTGCTGGGTCATAGGGTAGCTCTATCTTTAATTTTTTGAGGAACCTCCACACTGTTTTCCAAAGTGGCTGTACCAACTTACATTCCCAAAACAGTGTAAGGGGGTTCCCCTTTCTCTACAACCTCTCCAACATTTGTTGTTTCTTGCCTTGTCAATTTTTGCCATTCTAACTGGTGTAAAGTGGTATCTCAATGTGGTTTTGATTTGGATTTCCCTGATGGCTAATGATGATGAACATTTTTTCATGTGTCTGTTAGACATTTGTATGTCTTCTTTAGTCTCAGGATAATTTTTGAGTGATTACTTATCCTAATAAATACTGTCGCTTGACTGACAAATGCCTTGTACACAATTCCTTATGTGTATGGCTGTAGAATATGAAAATATTCATATTGGTATCTGGCACTAAGGTTTTTGCAAAAGACCAGTGGTCTGTATTTCATGTGATTTGGGTTCAAGGTCCAAATTAATCGCTATTATTACATGTATGACCCTGGACAAATCTCTTCATGTCTGTGGACTCCAATTTCTTTATATAAGAGTAAAAGAGAATAGTTGAGTTTTACTGTCTCTAAGATAACTTATAATTTCAAAATTCTATGAAGTTTTTAAGTTTTAAAAAATCTTGGTTGTGTGCCCAAATAAAACTGTAGCTTTAGAAGTCTTGTGTATAGCTCCCTGCTTATCTGTTTCTTGCCATCCATTTCTTCCCATTTGATTCCATTCGGCTACTCTATTCTTCCTCATTTAGCTTTTCTGAGATAACAGTGGCTTTGCACAGAGAGACTTCTTCTTTTTTTTTTTTTTTGGTGTGTGAGAGTAAGCTTTATTTCTACTCTCAAACGCTTACAACTTTGCATAAAGCCCTACCTCAGAGATGGCAGAAACTGTAATAAATGATCCACCCCCCCTACACAACACAGCGAATTTTAATGTCCCACCCCCCTTTGGGGGAAGGGAGGTTACACTACACACTTTTGGAGACGCCCCAAAGGTTGTCTGGCACTTTGGTACAGAAAGGATTTGGTCCGATTTCTTACTGGCTTAGGATACTAAAAGGCACAGAAAGTTGGTTGCTCAACCCCTCTGGGCTAGGGTGGGGCAGAAGGTAGACAGGGAGGTGGTCTGGGACAGAAGGGCAGACCATGGGTGTGGGCTCAAGTTCTGGACGACAGAGGTAGTTAATCTTGAGTGGCTGCTGGGGTGGCTGAGGGCCGCCTGAGTGCTCAGGGTGGGTAGATGCTTCTCTGGTGGCCTTTGTCTGCCCAGTCTACCAGCTCACTGCTCTGAAACCATTGCTGGATCTCCTTCTGGGCCCCCTCCACGGAGTCGCTGGCATGGATGATGTTCCTGCTGATGTGGATGCTGAAGTCCCCCCTGATGGTGCCAGGGGCAGCCTCAGCTGAGTTGGTGTGTCCTACCATGGCCCTTGAGGAGCAGACCACATTGGGGCCTTCCCAGACCATGGCCACCATGGGGCCAGAGGTCATGTAGCTGATGAGGGCTGGGTAGAAGGGCTTCCTCTGCAGATCATGGTAGTGCTCAGCAAGGACTCTCTCTGGTGCCTGCAGCATCTTCATCCCCACCAGCTTGAAGCCCCTCCTCTCAAAACGCTGGATCACATCCCCAACAAGCCGCCACTGCACCCCATCTGGCTTCACTACAACCAGGGTCTGCTCCTGGGTCCAGGAGGACCCTCCCGAGCTGGGGCGTGCGAGCAGGCTCGGGCCCAGGGTGCACAGAGAGACTTCTTAACTGAACTTCTGTATTGATGGCAGTGTAGAAGAGAGTTAATTCCAAGGAGAAGCTGCCCGTTGGTAGAAACAGAAAGGCAGAGGAGGGAGGAACTTCTAAGCCATCATCCTTTGATAACTACTCAACTTTTTCACACTCTGTCCTTTCCTCACTTGCTTCCTGCTGTCCTTAAGCAAACCAGGCCTAATGCACTTCCTGTTCCTTCCTCGCCCAGATGCAAAAGGTTTAATATCAATACCTCTTCACTCCCATCTGATTCTCAGTGTATCTCTTAAAAGAAAAGGAACTGCTAAAGGCACCTGAAAGCTTGCATCGCAGCCTCAAGCCCGGCCTCACTTTGAGTAGTCACCATTCACTGTCAAGGGCACTTTTCAGCCCCAGTATAGGGAAAGAGATGTGAAAGAGGAATCAGCTCTGAATTTTATCAGTAGTTTCTGGGCATGCCACAAATAGATAGAAATTGGAAATGAAAATCTCTTCACCATGGATGATAGAAGTTAATGTTACTCAAGATGTAGATGGAAAGGGTGGAAGAGATTCAGAAGGAGGGAGATAGTGAAAAAAGAGAAAAAGCAGGAGAAAAATTTTGTGAGTGCACTGCATGTTGAAATAATCTATCAAGTAATAGTTTGCAGATAGAGTTATTTTTCTACTCTAACCTATTGAAGTTTGGGCTCTAATTGAGGGTTTCTCTTTTTTCTCTTAGCATAGGCAGCATTCAGTATTCATGAATTTTGCTTTTTCTAAAGGTACCCTATGCTTCCTTTCTATATATAAAGAGGTTTGCCTATAAGTCCTAAAACTGGATAAATCCTTACAGTAATGGGTATATCAATTGGGGTAAAGAGGTGCTAATTTAGAGAGGTTAAATGTATATTCTGAAATGTTGGTAATTAGGGAAGGTAAAAGACATCTCCTGCATAATTTTTCTAAATAGCCACTCTCCCTGGCTTTCTTAAATACACCATAATAATATGCAGCAGAAAGTAACAAATCAGAGGGCCAGACCTGTGCCCTCTTTTGTGGAGTCAGTAACTATTTCAACCGCAGGGCTCTGACCCCTGCCTCCTTCCCCGTTCATAGTACCCTCTGTGTATGTGTGAGTGGTATTACTTTCTGCTTTGAAGAATTCTGAGATGAAATGGGATGTAAGCTCTCCTCTCCTTCCTTTTCTTCTGATATTATTGTCATTATTCTGAATCTAATGATATGGAGAAAATGGAGTTTTCTGAACAGCTAATGTGAGAATTTCTTTGTAGGGCAAGCTGAGCTCTGCTGAGAAGATATTTTGAAAAGGCTATGGTGGGGAAGAAGCTAGACTGGGACTGGCATTTAGGTTGGTGAAGGAACACTTCAAAGAGGGAAAGGAAAAGAATTGGTGCTGAACACCATGTGGGAAGAATGGTTAGAGCTGTGTGACCTTGTGGTTGGCAGCAGGAAGGAAAGTCTTGGCAAAGAGAAATGTCTATTTTTTTAAATGAAATGCCAGTGGGCTGTGAGATGTTACCTACCCACCCCAAGCCACAGTTCCATAAAAATTCAAAAATCATATACTAAATATGCTTGCATTTCTTATGCAAGACAGTGGAAGGAGTTGTGTTTCAGGATAAGATTGGCATTGACTGGAACATATCCAAAAAAATGGAAAGGAACAGTTGATGTCATGGTGTTATTATTCTGAGGCCAAGGTTTTTAATGGATTTCTGGAGGAAATTTCTCTCAGCTTTAGAAGTTTCCTACCATGTACACCCACAGCATAGGCACCAGATTCAGGTAAGAAATGTTCTTAGAAAGAGCCTCAGACAAGTATGAGAAGGTCAGAGGCACAGCAAAGGTGCAGACACCAATGGGTATTAACAAGTGTTTCGTCAAGTACATTAATTTCATCAATGTCTGTATAAATCTCCATTGCATGGTATTATGCCATAGCCAAGCCTTGGGTCTAGCTGCAGTTGTATCACCAATTATAGATTATTCAATTATATTATTTTTGTCAGGAAAATCAAGAAGGAATGAAATTCTGCATTGTTTAAAATTTGCCAGGAATCCTTAGTCGATGAAACAACCATTCGCAAAGGCCTCTCTTCTCCATTATCCCAGTTTTAACTAAACACAGAAACTATTTTGTTAAAATGGATTGCAGACACAAAGAAAAACTATTTCCAAACCCTCCAGTCAGGTGAAAAAAGTTGCTGGCACTTTGTTCAGGGATCTACAGCAGTGTTCCCGGAGCCAGAAGCTCACACAATGCTTCCTGCCTGCCTTGCTACTAGCAGAAATGGCCGTTGGTTGGAAATAATCATTTTTAATAATGCAGATCATCACAAGAGCTCGTGGGAAATCACTCTAAATATTACCCTTGGACTTTAGTATAGAAATATAGCAAAGGGAAATTGTCCCTATGATGCTCAAGGGTTAGAATAATATGGAAAAACCAACTCAGTTCAAATAATTTATTGTCTCTGCCATGCTTTTTGCATAGCACAGCTTAAGCTGTCATTCACCGAAGGGCTATTTATACAGTCTGAAATTCCAAAGGATTCCTGGATTTGTGTTCTTCTCCTCTCTTTAAATGATGCATAATAAGGTACTCTACAGAGGTCTTTTGTAATGAATGTGGAACTGTTTAGTTTGGGCCCCATCAAAGGGATGGAGGAACAGTAACTGGTTGTTTGAAATTTTATATTATAGAAACTATACTCTGCCACCACTTGAATTTGTTAGCATCTTTAAAATAAACTCTATCCCCAGACAAAACCAAATAAATCTTTGTATTCTTGACATTTCACTACAGAGGCCAATGAGAGGTGTAAATAGAAGTCCCAAGGGATAGAGGAAGTATTTTTCCTGGAGGGGCATTCTGGAGGAGATATGCTGGCTATTGTTGATGGTGTTTTTTTCTAAAGGTGGCCAAGTTTTCCTTGGCTTCTTTGACCTAATTATAATGCTTGCTTTCAGCTAGGCATGGCAGTGTTGAGATTTGCGTTGCAGAGTTGTCAAGCCAAATACCTGCTAGACATCTCAAACTGGATGTCCTGCGGGAGCCCCAGCTTAACGAGCCCAAACTCTTGCCTCCAACGCCCCACTCCCCGCAAGTACTTGATATTTCTCCTTCATTCCTCATTCAGCAAGTGGCAAATGATTTACCCAGGCATCCAAAACATAAACATGGGAATATAGTGTGAGGAACAATATGAGGAGAGTGGGAGACACTTGGTGAAGTCTGGGTCATGCTCACCAGATAGTTAAAAATATGGCTTTAACAAGACCAGTGGATTGTATCAATGTCAATATCCTGGTTGTGATTTTTATACTGTAGTTTTATAAGGCATTATTATGGAGTGAAACTGGGTAATAGGTATACAGGATCTCTCTCTTTTATTTCTTACAACTTCATGTGAATCTATAATTATAATAATAAAAAGTAAAAAATTAGTCTCTTGATTCAGGTATAGAAATGCACATCAACAGTGCTCTTTTAAGCATAAATTCTATTTTCACCATATGATAGATGAATGTATAAAATGTGACAGCTAACTTTATTTTTTTATTATGTTCTGTTAGCCAACATACAGTACATCATTAGTTTTTGATGTAGTGCTCAACGATCCATTAGTTGCCTATAACACCCAGTGCTCTTTAAAAATATTTTTCTTCTGTTACTCTAGTCCTTTGGTTTTTCAGAGTATTGAGGAGTAAATCAGATAAACCATAGTCCTAGGCTACTGTTTGATATCCTATACAAAAAAATAGGCACATGGCTGGCTCTTAGTTGACCAAGCATGCTTTCAGTGCTAAGCTTGCACTTAGTAGGTTTCTTCTTTTAGCATGTAATTCTAGCATTGAGAGGCCTTTACCTTCCCCTCCTGAAATGCAATGTGATTTTTCTAATTATGTGTGAGTCACTTTGTATCTCAGATTTCTCAAGGAGTACTGTAGAAGATTAAGATGATTCTATTTATGGATTCTGTTTTCTGCTTGATGACCAAGCCTTCAATTGCTTGAATAGTTTCTGTATGCTGGATTATAGTATTATCTCTAAGACCATCTGAAGACCTCAGAATGGCAAGATATAGTGAGGAATAGTATGCCTGCTTCTTTCTATGTAATGTTTGGGGATGTGGTTTGTTAGAAATAGATGAAGAAATCAAAATGAAGGTCAACTTTACAAAATAAACTCTCAGCCTATTAAAGTTGTACCATACTCCAAGAAGTATATCCGTAATTCCTCAATCTAATGCTTACTTAAAGAAAATAAGCAAAACATGCTGCTAATTTTTTTTTTGCAACTGATAAATTTACAACTACTTAGAATTAAAAAAACCAAACAAACAGTATTTGGGTGAGCTCTTGGTTTGTGAGTGGAATGTCCATCTACCACTTGTTTGAGGGGAAGCATGGTCCTTTTTGGTGATTTAAACACAAATAAAGATGGGACCCAATAATAGATGAAATATATAAGACAAGAAAAACTTTTCTTCCTTCTGTTCTAGTAGACTGTTTAGGATTTGCTTGCATCAAGTGCTTTGATTTTCCCCTCTCTTCATTTTACATGAGAGGATATATTTATTCCCTGGAAAGCTTAATCTGTAATCAATTATATTTAACAACTTAACTCAATTTTAAATGATATGATATAAATGAAGATTAAAGCTAATTTAAGGCAGCATTTTTTTACTACTGTTTAAATTAGCATTGGAAGAATCAGAAGGAACTATGTTTTTGATTAAGGTTTGGTTTAGGCTGAAGAGTTTCAATAAGATAATTTTCATAAAACTCTGAATTGGAGCCAATACCTGCTAAAAGATAACAGGATATATTAAAGCCATATTAGATGTTTGAAAATAAAGTTTCTGAAAACCTTTAATCAGGAAACAAACTGTGTTTGTGTGTGTTGTAAAACCTACCCCCATCTTCCACAGTTCAATGTGCTTGTACCCTTCTCTTACCTTACTCCCATTACTTGGACTCATGCCACCATCCACTATGGCCAACACTTCTGGTTTACTGACCAGCCTCCCCTATGTACAGTTTGCATTCTGCCTTAAAATTCCTGATTCATTTTTTCACACTAAAATCAAAATGATCTAAAATAGCATTCTGATCATGGCCAGTTCTCTAACACCCTCTTGTACTTTTCCATTGGCCTTAAGATGGAGTCCAAGTTCTTTGCCTTGGTATAGCAGATAGTGTCTGTCCCAGCTCAACTAATGTGATCCCTCACTACCCTTTTCTAGGTACCTCTTCCACTCACTTTATGCTCTATGAATGTGTGGAGCTTTCTCTTATCTCTTGGTCTTTGCAGTATTTTTAAACTCTTCCTGAATTATCTTCCCCCCCGACTTGCATACCTGTTATCTGACTAAGTTCCAAAAATGGCTCCAGTTATGTCTTGGAAATGAAGAATCTCCCGGGTTACAGATGATAGCTTATTTGTCTGTCCTCCCACTAAGTATGAAAGTCACTTAGATCCAGGAGTGGGTCCTTGCTCACCATTATATCTCCCTAATTTATGAGATTTAAAGATTCTTTTGATGGCAAGACACAGCAGAGTGACACTCAAATGAATGAAAGGTAGATCTTTGTTATTTATAGCTCCAAAAGAGATTAAGCTGACAGGCAGCGTCACACAGCGTCACCCTGGGACAGGTGAGCAGCAAGCTAGAGCTGTTGGGAGCAGCTTATGTATGGCAAGTAGGATGAAATTAGCTGGATTTCCCAGTCTCCTGTAGATTGGCTAATTTGCCCCAAGGTGTCTGGTATCCAGCCCCTGAGTGATTAGGAAAGTGCATAGTGATCCCTGAGTGTAACCCAGTGAGGAAAGTGGTCAGGGTGTGGACATAAATTACCTGCCCTAGAAGGGAGTCTGACTGGTGTCTAGCCAGTATCAAAACTGCACAAGCACAACATTTCAAACAAATGCATTCATGAATGAATGAGTGACAAACCAACAAAATATATCATGCTATAGTTTAGTACTTAAATTAGGTGTTTAAAATAAATATTTAATTGACACCACGAGTAAAAAAAAAAATGGATATACATATGCATGAGTGTATGCTACCATTTGACCCTATAATAATTATTATGCTTTTCTCAAATGTCTAGTTATTTAGAATGGACTTACAAGGGCCCAGTGTCATCTTCCAGTCACTAAGTGACTCTGGACCTGTTTTCACACCTTTAAAATGGGTTTCAGTTTCCTTCTTAAGTAAGGAGAAGTGGTAATGAATTTGATAAATTTAAAAATATACACTTTGTATTTTCAGAAATATTCATTAGATAATTATATTTGTTCAAGGTAAAGCTACTATAAATATACTTGCTGGTTGGACCCATTTTGATAAGGTCTAGCTAAGAAATAGTTTCTAGACCTAAAAGGCCAAATTTGCTCCCTACCTTTTAAAATGTACTTAAAAATTAGCCTTTTATGAAGCAATAGTCTTCTGGAATATGAGTGCTGAAATTCCAGACAATAATGTTAACACATGAATGAAAAAAATACTTTATGTTTTAAAGTATCTTTTTTGACATCAAGAATAATGTGGATAATTTCCTTCTTCTTGCTGTAGTTGCAATTTAAGAAGCATAATAAATAAAAGTATTTGCAGAGTGTATTCAGATGAATTCTTTTCAAGAACTTTATGAAGACAAACGCTGCTTTTCATCCAGGGGCAAAATAAAAATGTTCTATTTAGCTGATTTTTTTTCTTGAGATAATATCTTTTGTAATTTCTAGGCTTTTTTTTACATGGTTAATATTATTTACAATATGATTAAGACTGTGTTAGTCAGGGGTCTCCAGAGAAACAGAACCACTAGGATATATAGAAGAGGAGATTTATAATAGAAATTGGCTTACACAATTACAGAGGGCAAGTAGTCCCATGATCTGGTGCTGCAAGCTGGAGACCTATGAACTGGTGGAGTAATTCAGTCCAAGTTCAGGAGAAGATGGATGTCTAGGCTCAAACAGAGAGAGAGCAAATTCGCCCTTGTTCTGTTTGGGCCCTCAAAGGATTGGACTTGGACAATATTGAGCCACATGGAGGAGTGCCGTCTGCTTTATTCAGTTCACTAATTTAATAGATAATCTCTTCTGAAAACACCCCCAAATAATATTTTACCAGCCATCTGGGCATCCCTTAGTCCAGTCAAATTGACACATAAAATTAACCATCTGAAAGACCAAGAAGCTTATTCTATATCTTTTTTATTACATACCATCTTGCCTATGTAAGGTATAGACAAAAATATATTAAAAGTGAAGGGATGGAAAAGAGATATCATCCTAATACCAAACAAAAGCTGGTATAGCTGTATTCATTTCACACAGAGCAGACTTCAGAACAAGGCAAATTATTAGGAATAAAGAGGGAATTACCTAATGATAAAGGGGTAGATTTTCCAAAAAGTCATAACAATGCTGAATGTATGTATTCCAGCAAGAGAGTATCAAAATACATAAGGCAAAAATTGTTAAATCTTGACAGAAAATCAGTAAGAGTAAAGTTAAACTGAAAAGCACCATCACTCAACGATATCTAATTGACATTTATGGAACACTTCACTCAACAACAGAATACACATTCTTCACAAGCTCACATGGAACAGTCACCAAGATTGATCATGGTCAGGGCCATAAAACACATCTTAACAAATTTAAAATAAAGAAATTATACAATGTATGCTCTCACCCCACAATAGAATTAACTAGAAATTAATAACAGAAAAATAGGTAGAAAGTCCCAAAACATTTCCACATTTTAAAATGCACTTCTAAATAATACATGGATAGGAGTGTCTGGGTGGCTTAGTCAGTTAAGCATCCAACTCCTGGTTTCGGCTCAGGTCGTGATCTCAGGGTCCTGAAATCAAGCCCCACCTCTTGCATTGCCCCACACGGAGTCTGCTTGAGATCCTCTCTCCCTCACCCCTGCCCCTCCTGCTTGTGTTCTTGCTGTCTTTCTCTGTCTAAAAATAAAAATGAAAATAAAAATAAATAAATAACACATGGATCAAAGAAAAATCCTTAAGAGAAACTATTAAATATTCCAAAGTAAATGAAAATAAGAATACAACTGTCAAAATTTGTGAGATAAAGCAAATGCAGTATTTTAGAGGGCTATTCATAGCATTGAATGCATCTGTTAGAAAAGAAGATAAATCTAAAATCAGGAATCTACGTTTCTATCTTAGGAAAGTAGGAAAACAAAGCAAATTAAATCCAAAATAATAATAAGAAAATAAATAATAAAAATTAGAGCAGAGATCAATGAAATTGAAAGTAGGAAATTAATACAGAAAATTAAAAAAACAAAAAAATGGTTCTTTGAAAATATCAATAAAATTGATAAGCCTTTAGCTAGGTTAATCAAGAAAAAAAGAGAGGAGACAAAAATTATGTAATAGATTAATACCTTCAAAAACATAATCTAATAAAACTGAACTTATGTATCTATTAGGGAAAGATACAGTCTGAACAGGCCTGCATCAGTTAAATAATTTTCATCAATAATTAGTAATCTTCTAAAACAGAAAGGTCCAAGTCCAAATGGTTTCACTGGTGAATTATAACGTTCAAAGAAGAAATGATACTAATCTTTACAATCTCTTCCAGAAAATCAAAATGGAGGAAATACTTTCTAACTCATTCTATAAGGACAACATCACTCTCATACCAAAACCAAACAAATATAATACTAAAGAGGAAAACTATAGACCCATATCTTTAATAAGCATGCATGTAAAAATTCTCAACAAAATATTAGGAAAGAAAATCCAACAATTTATAAAAAGAATTACATACCATGACCAAATAGAATTTATTCCACGTATTCAAGGTTGGTTATACATTAAAAAATCAGTTCATGTAATTCATCACATCAACAAGCTAAAGAAGAAAAATACGTAATCATATCAATAGGTGAATAAAAAGCACTTGATGAAATCCAACATGCATTCATGCTAAAAATTCTTAGGAAATTAGGAAAAGAACAAACATTATACTCAACTGGTAAGAAGGTGGATTTTTCCTTCTTAGATCAGAACAAGAAAAGCTATGCCCCTCTTATTACTCTTATTCAAAATCAGACAAGAAGTCCAAGCTAATGCAATTAGAAAAAGAGATAAAATATATTCAGTTTGAGAGAGAAGAAGTAAAGCTGTCTTTGTTCACTGATGATATAATTCTCTCTATACAAATTCCCAAAGAATAGACATAAAACCTACTGGAAGGTAGCAGGATGCAATATTAATTAATATAATCTTAATATACAAAAGTCAATTGCAATAATTAGCAGTTGGAATTTGAACTGAAAAACACAAAATCACGGGTGCCTGGGTGGCTCAGTCGGTTAAGTGTCTGCCTTCGGCTCAGGTCATGATCCCAGGGTCCAGGGGTTGAGCCCCACATCAGGCTCCCTCCTCAGTGGGAAGCCTGCTTCTCCCTCTCCCACTCCCCCTGCTTGTGTTCCCTCTCTCGCTGTGTCTCTCTGTGTCAAATAAATAAATAAAATCTTAAAAAAAAAAACCCACAAAATCGTTTACGTTAGTACCACAAGACCTGAAATACTTAGTATAAATCTAATAAAATATGTACAGGAGCAATATGAGAAAAACTACAAAGCTCTAATGAAAAATTAATGAAGACCAAAATAACTGGAGAGATATTCTATGTTTGATAGATAAATTCAATATTATTAAGTATCAGTTCTTCCCAACTTTATCTATAAATTCAATGAAATCCTAATCAAAATTCCAACAACTTATTTTTGGATTTTCACAAACTGATTCTAAAGTTTATATGGATGCAAAAAGCCAGAATACCCAACAGAACACTGAAGAATAATAAACTGGAAGACTCACACTAACAGACTTAAAGATTAACTATAAAGCTACAGTAATCAAGACAGTGTAGTATAGAAAAAAATAGACAAATAGATAAATAGAACAACAGAATAGAGAGCAATTC